GAGGAGGAGGAGAAGGAGGGAGGAGAGGGGCGAGGAGGACGACGAGGAGGAGGGCGAGGAGGAGGAGGAGGAAGGAACGCCAAGACACATCCCAGAGACTGCATCTGAGACGCGTCGCAGCCGAGCAAAAAGACCAGCAGCCGTCGGTTCATTTCGACTCCTCCGATTCGATCCGATTCGATTCCGATGGCCCCGATGCCGATCTTATTCGGTTCGGAATTTCTGTTGGAGCTCCGATTGCTTAATGGAGGCATACTACTAGCATGCCGAGTTCCGCCGATTTGACTTTTCCCGACGCGGCTGCCGATTTCCGCCGATCCGATTGATATCGACTGCAGATCCGACTTCTCGATTCGAGTTTGGGTTCTCCTGCGCGGAGCAGGCAACTTCAAGGGCGCCCTCGAGGGCGCGAAGTTCTTCTTCAGAGGACGGAAACCCACCCCCACCTTCAGTCCCGACTCCCATCCCCGAGCCGACGATTCAAGGGGTCGGGTCTGGTGTGGGGGCGTTTTCTCCATCCTTGGACCCCGAAGAACCACCCCCCCTGGTTCGAGCTGGCCTTCGTTTGCCCGTGCTTGGTCGAAGCGCGTTAACTAGTGTTCCGACTGTTCCAAAACATGTGCGCCTTGTTGCTTGAATATCAGAACAAGAAACACAGATGTTCATCATATTGCCAACGAATGAAATCCATGTCGGTGATGGTGGCGGGTCGCCAAGAGGGCAGGCTGCGGTGGGCGATGAGAAGGAGGAGCTGGGCTGGCTGGAGGGGGGGGGCGGGGAGGGTGCGCTGCCGGGACAACGCGGTCGGGCCCGAGGGGACGCGCTGGCTGAGGGTGGGGAGGAGGAGCAGGAGTAGGGGAACAAAAAGTGTCATAAACATAAAAACTCGGAGGTCCGCGCTTATCTCTCGGATCGGCGCTGGACCCCCCTCCCCGGCGCGCAGAGCGCGCCAGGGGCGGCGCCGGAGGCGCCGCCGGGGGGCCCCAGCGCCGATCCGAGAAATCCGCGCGGACCTCCGAGTTGTTATGTCTGTGTCACTTTTTTTGATCCCCAGCCACCCCGCTCGCGGTGGAGTGCTCCTCCTCCCGCGCGGCCCGCTCCTCCAGCTCGCCCCGCTGCAACGCGTAAGTCGGGCCTGTCCCTCTACAGGAGGGGTATTCAAAAATAGTCAAAAAATAGTCTGGGGACTAGCTCTTGACTATCTCTTGACTCTTGCCACTCTTTGTTCCCCTGGGGAGGGGCGAGGGGGGAGGTGCGGGGCTTGGCTGCGGGGCGAGAGACGCGGGGGGCGCGGTGCCAGTGCTCAAGCAGTGGCGAAGCGTCCCGGCTCGCCTATAGCCCCACCAAACAGTGTTCTAAGACATTGTTGTGTTTCCCACGAAATGTTCTTAGAACATTTCTGGCTGGGATTGTCTTGTTTTAACACATCGGGTTTATGTTCTAAGCACACTGTCTTTTGTTATTTAGATATTCTTGGTTCTACGAAAATTTCGTGGTATGACTATAGGAATGCCGGGACGGTCGGTCCCTGCTCAAAGTGCCGCGCCGCGGCGGACTAAAAATTGGTCGGGGCGGAGGGGGCGCGCTGCTTTGGGGGGCGATGGGGGAGCTGGGCCGCCTGCGGGAGGGCGGGGGGGCGCCGTGCCCTGGCCGGGCTGGCTCGCCGGGGCCGTGCCGTGCAGAAGCGGAGTCGTGGGAGCTGTAGACCTGGACGCCCGACATGGGCACGGAAAGAATGACTGTGTACGATGCCCAACAGCAGTTCCTGTTCATTCTGAACACGACTCGCTGAGACAGAGGGCCGCCTGCCTAACAGCGGCCGCTGTTGGTTTGGGACAACATTTGTTGTTGGGCATTGTCCCCATTCTTTCCGTACCCATTTCGGGCGTCCAGAAGCGGAGTCGTGGGAGTTGTAGGTTTCAGTCGGGCCTGTCCCTCTACAGAGGGAGTAAAAAAAATGTAGTCAAGAAGTGGTCGGGGGGACGATTTTGTTCATGGGAATGTGAGCATGTTTGGTTTTTGTTTAAGTATGTTTTATCCTTCGTCCAAGATCCCCCCGTAGGGGGACACGCCCGCCTTCACTGTAGACACAGGCGCAGGATGGTAGGTGCAGGTGCTCGGTACGGTCGTCATAGATGTGCGCTTCCGCTCAGGGTGCCGACGACAGGCCACGCGGCCCCCAATCTGGCCTCAAGATTCCCCAGCCCGTCTTCCAGAGGCCATCCCAACAAGAACAACCCAACCAAGGCCATCCCAACAAGAACAACCCAACAGCCCCATCCCGCCATTCCCCCACCCGTATTCCAGAGGCCATCCCAGAAAAGGGCCCGCGCCATCCCAGCAAGAACAACCCAATGTGGCACGTGAGAGCCCCAAGAGGCCTCCCGGGGGCGCTGAAGACGGCACGACGGAGCCCCCGTGTCGGCCCGAGATGTCGCCTCCGAGAGTCCCGTGGCGGCCAAGAGCGGACTCGGGTGGCCAAAGAGGCAGGGCCAAACGGCACAATATGCCGCCCCAGAGGACCCCATGGCGGCCAAGGCATCGCTCGCCCCCTCTCCTCCTCGCCCGCCTCCTCGCTCCTTGTCCTCGCCGCCGTAATGGTTTGCTGCGAATTCGCTTGTCCCCGCTTTTTCGTCATGAGCGGCTAGCGCGATTGTGCGTTTCTCACCCTTTCCCACTGCGCTCGTCCGTCCTGTTTTCGACCAGGCGCGTCGCTTCGATTGCTGGCTCCTCGCTCGCCTCTTCGCTCCTCCTCTTCGCCAGGCCTGCTCGCCCCTCCCCGCGCAGCCTGCTCGCTCTTCCTCGCATAGCCTCTCCCAGAGATCCAATGCCGTGAGGTTTTCAGTGCGCGGTCCCCAGTAGCCTCATTCCCCAGGGCTGGTTTTTCATCTTAAGTCGTTTTTCCCAACCTTATTGTCGTGTTGGGTCCTCGTTTTGAAGAGACGTCGCCCCGCGTTCCTCTCCTCTCCTCCTCCTCCCCTCCCTCCTCCTTCGTCCTGAGTCGTTCTTTGTTGGTCCCGAGGCCCGGCGAGGGCTCGCAGGGGCCGCAACCTGCGAAACACCCGCCGTTCTGATGTTCTTTCAGTATACGCTGGAGCTCTGGGCTCCTCTTCGCTGGCCCTGTCGACTGGGGAGGGGGGAGGAGGAGGGAGAGGAAGGAGGAGCGAGGAGGAGGAGAAGCGAGGAGCGAGGAGGAGGAGGAGGAGAAGGAGGAGGGGGAGGAGCGAGGAGCGAGGAGGAGGGAGAGGAAGGAGGAGCGAGGAGGAGGAGGCGGAGCGAGGAGGAGGAGGACGAGGAGGAGGAGGAGGAGGAGGAGGAGGAGGAGAAGCGAGGAGCGAAGAAGAGGAGGAGGAGGAGGAGGAGGAGGAGGAGGAGGAGGAGTCCTCGCCCAGCACCTCTCCTCCTCTCTCCAGAGGCGCCACTCCGCGCTCAGGGCCCGCGTCGGCCTCCCCGCCCTGGGGGGAGGGGGGGGGGGTCGGTGCGGGGGGGGGGCTCCGCGGACGGCAGGTCGCCTGCGGGCGGGGTAGGAGGGAGGACGAGGAGAGGAGGAGGAGGAGGAGGAGGAGGAGGAGGAGGAGGAGGAGGAGGAGGAGAGGAGGAGGAGGAGGAGGAGGAGGAGGAGCGAGGAGGAGGAGGAGGAGGAGGAGGAGGACGAGGAGGAGGAGGAGGAGGGAGAAGAGGAGGAGGAGGAGGAGGAGGAGGAGGCGGACCTTTTCTTTTATACACGCCGGTCGTTAAAAGTAGGTGTTTTTGCATGTTGAAATCCTAATCTATTTTAGGCTCCTTCCTGCTTCAAGAGTCGAGTGGTTTTCCTTCTTCCCTCCTCTTCAGGGGGCGGGCTGAAGTCCAATCTACTTCCAACGCCTTCCTACTTCATGTTTCTGCCCACTTCTTCCGACAGGCGTGTACCCGCTTGTGTCTGGCAGTGTGCGCATGCGCCTTTATCACCAGGCCTTTGCGCGATGGTGTTGCATCCGCAGTGCTGAATGACAGTGCTGTAGCAAGTCTTTTGCGAGGAGGCGGACGAGGTTGTGGAGGAGGCGGAGGAAGAGGCGGAGGAAGGGGAGGCGGAGGAGGAAGAGGTTGAGGAGGAGGAGACGGAGATACAGCGGGCGGGGAAGGGATGATGAGGAGGATGCTGATGATGATACTGATGATAATGCTTGTAATGACGATACTGATTATGATGCTGCTGCTGATGCTATAGATGTTTATGGTGGTGGTTGCGGTGATGATGATGATGTTGATGATGCTGAGTGTGACGATCATGCTGATGACGTTGATGATGGTGTTGATGATGATGGTGATGGTGGCGGTGGTGATGATGATACTGACCCTGCTGTTGCAGCTGCAATTCATGATGATGGTGGTGATGCTGATGATGGTGTTGATGATGATGACCATGATGCTGATGATGATGATGTTTATGATGATGATGCTGATGATGATGATGCTGATGATGATGATGGTTATGGTGATGACGATGATGCGGATGCTGATGATGATGATGCTGTTGATGCTGATGACGGTGGTGGTGGTGGTGGTGGTGGTGCTAGTGGTGGTCATGATGATACTGCCGCGGGTTTTGAAGCTGTTGGTGATGATGATGATGATGATGATGATGATGGCGTTGTTGTTGCTGCTTATGCTGAGGGAAATGATGCTGATGCTGATGGGGATGGTGATGCTCCTCCTTGTGATCATGATGGCGATGATGATTGTGATGGTGAGGGTGGTGATGATGCCGATTAGGACGATGGTGATGCTGATGATGATGCTGATGCTGATGAGGATGATGATGGTGGTGATGATGAGGATGGTGGTGGTGATCATGATATTGGGAGGAGGGGGAGGAGGACGAGGAGGAGGAGGAGGATGAAA